TTTTTGTGGAAGAGATTTTTGCAATAAAAAACCCTGTGTAGATGGGGCCATTTGTCAGAAACCCTTATTTTGCGCAAGATCCCTTATTTCTCAAAAAATGAGGTTTACAGGATCTTGTACAAAACAGGTTTTTTTCTGAACGGCCCCATCTACACAGGGTTTTTATCGCAAAAATCTCGTCCACAAAAAGGATCAGAAGAATATGCAAATGAGAGCATGAGATTTGCAAATAAGGGATCCACTTGCATTTCCTCTTTCGAAAAACTGTTGCAGTGTAGATGTAGCTTCAGACCCTGTGAGGCCCTAAATTTTCAGGTGTCCTGTGCAATTGCATATTCTGCTTATCGGTAATGATGGCTCTGATTGTATTAAACTATAAGAAGCTTGCTTCAATAGTGATCTTGTATTTGCTCACTAGCCCTGTGGGGAGCGAGCATGGGTTTAAGGGATTTAAGCATGTGTAGTCTCCATTCAGTGGATGAAGCAGCTGCATAATTCCTTGTGTATTGGTGACTGATCTTACATCTCTTCAGAGAGGATGCTTGTTAGCTGTAACTATCACTGCTAACTCATGAAGAGGGCACATACATTAGGAGATGATCAATTAGCTTAATACTTAAAGTACTTTGCAGGTATAAATCTCTAGAAGTGTGTTGCCAGCCCAACTATTTGGTTTGCTAACTTCAAATTTGTGTTCTCCAGGAGTCTAGTAATATTACTTTGATCTTTTTTTTAACTTCCTTAGGCTTTTGGATTACTTAACATGATTCTGTGGGGAGGAAATGCCTGGTTTGTATACAAGGAGACCAGCTTGCATAACCCATCAAACTCAACTTCCCAAGGCTCAAGAATCTATCCACCTGCAACAGGAATATAATTAGTCAGAAGATGATACTTCTTAAAAAGCATACACTTTGCATCCTACTGCCAACAACTTGGAGACACTGCAGTTTATATTTGTGGTAATGGGTAAACTTCTGCTTTGTACTTGAAGCATGTCTTTCATAGAAATATAGATGTAAACTTTCAAGTGTTTGACACTGAAATATATTATGCCTCTAAAATAAGTGCAGTTTCTTCATTAGCAGTTTCTTCATTTAAAAGTAACAAATTGTTCAGACCTTTCTAAGTCTCTTTGCAAATGTCCCTTCACACACACGTGCATGTGTGCACATATACGCATCCCTTTTCAGGAAGTGGTTCTAGTTAATACTTGTGGGAAGAAACTGGTTTAGATTGTATAAAATGACTGATTTCTTAATTAAAGACTATTTAACTTAGGATGTTTGGAATTCCAGTATTAAATTTTATCATTCGGAGGTTACCTACTAATCCTGCAAAGACAAGCTTTCTGAAAATTAGCCATATCTGGTAGCATGTTCTGGCATCATTCTGTAAATTTTTTTTGTATATTGTTAATGGCTTTTTTTTTTTTTTTTTTGGTGTGGATAAGAATCTTGCAGACACTCTAAAATGTCTGTCTGCAAGTACTACAACATTAGAAACTTGTTGTGAGTTTACATGTTCATTGTTAACAATTTCATAATTTGGAACAATTTCTAAAAGGGGATAATAAAGATGCAAGTCACACTTCTGTGGCATAATTTGAGAACAAGAGTCAAATGAGGTTAGATATGGGGTATTTAAGTTCATCTGATCTGCAAAACATTGGTAACTTGTGATATAGATTATAGATGCTAATACTTACCCTGTCAGTAAACTCTGTTTTTGATTCATGTAAATGAGTCCAAGCTGAGCAATTGGCAGTATATAAGGACTATTATCTACCTAGTGACATGACATAACTGGAGATGTCTGTCTTACTGATATATACAGGTGTTTAATTGTCCTCTTACTGGGATCAAGATTTGATGATTCTCCCATGAGAGACTTGTGTATTCAGACTCATCTGACTTAGTTACCTCACTTATTTCTCCACATGAATTGTCCAAAGAAGTCTATCTTGGTTTCTGCAGACTTGATAAATATGTAAAGTTGTTTAGACTGTATATAGTTTACTAGCAAATATTTCTATAAGCTTGCTTGCTTTCAAAGCCAGGGCAGATGTAACAACATACATGTCTTGGTCTTAACTGTCTTTCCATCTGTAAACTTAAGAACAGTCTCTAATAAATGGGTTGCTGTAACTGTTCGTCTGAGTACTCATTTTTCTTGCTTCTATGAGCAGATTTCCCTTGCAGTTCTACCTCTGGTAGAGAGAAGGAAGCTGATGTAATCAAGGGGGTAAGAGGAGGACTTTAGCGAGGCTAAAGGGGCCCAAGGCAGTATGGGTGACTAGAGATAATAGTGATAGAAATGTAGCCGTGTTAGTCTGGGGTAGCTGAAGCAAAATGCAGGACAATGTAGCACTTTAAAGACTAACAAGATGGTTTATTAGATGATGAGCATTCGTGGGCCAGACCCACTTCCTCAGATCAATATGTGGAAGAAAATAGTCACAGCCATATATACCAAAGGATACAATTAAAAAAATGAACACATATGAAAAGGACAAATCACATTTCAGAACAGGAGGGGGATGGGGGGGGGGGAAGGAAGGTAAGTGTCCGTGAATTGATGATATTAGAGGTGGGGAGAGTGGGATGTTTGAGAGTTAATGATAATAGAGCCTTCCAAATCTGCTGCTATCTGCTTTATGTCCATGGGCATCTGCATCCACTTCAACCTCAACAGACCATGTTTGTGGACTGTGAATTGGAAGCAGATACAGAATTTGCATCCACACAGGGCTCGACTCATCCCATCCCAGTTTGTTCTGTACATGCTGGTTTGCAGTGAGTAAAGAAACAGAAACACAGAGATTGGACTCTTCCCTCCTTCAGAATATAGGATAAACCTAGTTAGCACAGGGATAAGCAACTGAAAAGCCCAGGAAGAAATCCAATAATTCTCTGTTCACACTAGAATTTGGATAATGTACAGTAAATAAGGCACGTGAGACAAAATATTGAATCACTGCTTATTTAAGTGAGAGCCATCCATTCTGTGCACTGAATGAGGCAAGGGTCATGTGGAAAAAAGTGATCATGAAATTAAAGACACTACTACAGTACAGAAGTACTAAAGAATTACATTAAAATTTCAGAGGGACCTTCATTTTCCTCTGTGATTGATATTTGTAGTCTTCATAATTTTCATAAGCTAAGACTATTTTATATATTGCACACAACTATGCCAACTTAATAAAAGTTGATTTTGTGCCTAAATTATAAAGCATCACAGTATACTTAATCTGAGGGGTAGCTGTGTTAGTCTGTAACTTTTAAAAACAAGTAGCCCTGTGGCACCCTAGACTAACAAAAAAATTATAGTACCCTAAGTTTTCATGGGCAAAACCTATTTCCTCAGATGAGTCATCCAAAGAAATGGGGTTTTGCCCATGAAAGCTCAGGCTATGGATATATAGTTATCCCCTATTGTAGACCACGCCTTAGAGACTAAGTTCGAATTAAGCTATGCAACTTCAGCTACATTAGTTACATCAGCTTAAGATATGCATCTTAACTTACATTTTCGTGCCATCCACAGTGATGGAAGTTGAAGGGAGCACACTGTCCCTTTGACTTCCCTTACACCTTGTAGAAGCAAGACTACCAGCATTGATGGGAGTGCCCTCTGTTTGAATTAGTGGGTTTTCACTAGACCTGCTAATTCGAACCCCAGAAGATCAACTGTGGCTGCTTTGATCTTTTTGTAGTGTAGACATGGCCTAAGATGCTACAGCTCTGAGTTAAGAGGGATATTTATTTCCTAGAGAAGCCTTTGACCTCACTGAGAGCTGGGGTCTGTTAGCTGCATGCACTAACAGCCTACAGGTGCAACTGTTTCAAACTCTCTCTGTAATAACCAGGACCCACCCATTTCTGGCTTCACAGATAAAACACAAAGCTTTACATTTCCCCTGAATGCCCCCTCATTTTCCCTGACTATCTGCTACTTTCTGCTTAAGCTGGAGTTTGCATGTGGGCTTGAACAACAGTCCTGCATAGCTCAGTAAACCTGAGTGGAGGTGATGGATCATGATGCTTTTACGATTCAGGTCTAAAAGTTATAGCCATCTAGTTAAGTGAAGATAATGAAAGGTCATGTTGGTCTCACTATCATTGTCACCTGGCCATTGCATTGATGTGTAAATACATGGCAAATAGTGTGAATGTGTGTGTATATAGCAGCATACTCTGTGGGACTTATACAGTGATAGGTACAGCTTTGAGTATCTGTATCAGGTGTAAGTTTTATAAAAATATATTTATATTTGATTATAAATGTAATTGGACAGTAAGTGCTCTAACTTCAGCTGTTCAGCAATTGCTCCTGGGACCTACAATTTCTTTACTACTGGGCTTTTCCTTCCACAACTTAATTTTCCATTTGCTATGCTTAATCTATTGCCAACTCCATTCTCTCCAAGCCTAGCTCCATTCCCCATCATTAGTCACTCTTTCATTCTCAACTGTGAAGTGTCAAAGTTTGGGCAGAGCATGAAGGAAACCACTTTATCATCACTATTGTGGCTCTCAAATGTCCTTAGTTATTTTCCTAAATAGAAGTGTTTATTGGTTGCAGAAAAATCTGACAGTTCTCTAAATCATACTGGGCCCTATTTGAAGTATTCAAGGACTCCTTCAGGCAAATAACCTAAGCAAAGGGCTAGACTTTTTTCAGCAGTCATTATTAGTTCAGGCTCACTTCCAAAGTTTACTTCTGTCATCACCTTTTCTATGCATAAAATGTTTGCAGGTTAAATACCCTTTTCAAAGCCCATTGCTTCGTGTCCTATCCTCAGAGGCCAAGGAGAACATTTTTTTTTCCTCCCTGCTCCTTGTGACACCTTTTTAGATACCTGAAAACTGCTACCATGTCCCCTCTCATTCTTCTCCTTTCCAAACTAAACAAGCACAGTTCTTTCAGACTTTTTTCATAGGTCATATTCTCTAGACCTTCAGTTGTTCTTGTTGCTCTTCTCTGGACCTTCTCGAATTTCTCCACATCTTTCTTGAAATGTTGTGGACAGAATTGGACACAATACTCCAATTGAGGACTAACCAGCGCAGAGTGGAGAGAAGAATGTCGTCTTGTGTCTTGCTCACTGCTCCTGTTAACGCGTCCCAGAATCATGTTTGCTTTTTTGCAATAGCATCACGCTGTTGACTCTCATATTTAGCTTGTGTTCCACTGACACACAGATCCCTTTCTGCAGTACTCCTTCCTAGACAGTTGCTTCCCATTCTGTGTGTGTAAAACTGATTGTTCCTTCCTAAGTGGAGCACTTTGAATTTGTCCTTATTAAACTTCATCCTATTTACCTCAGACCATTTCTCCAGTTTGTCCAGATCATTTTGAATTATGACCCTATCCACCAAAGCAGTTGCAACCCCTCCCAGTTTCATATCATCTGCAAACTTTAAGTGTACACTCTATGCCAATATCTAAATTGTTGATGAAGATACTGAACAGAACGGTCTCAAAAGAGACCCTTGTGGTACTCTACTTGTTATGTCCTTTCAGCATGATTGTGAACCATTTACTACTTTGAGAATAGTTATCCAGCCTGTTATGCACCCACCTTATAGTAGCCCCATCTAAGTTGTATTTGCCTAGTTTATTGATAAGATCACGTGAGACCGTATCAAATGCCTTACTAAAGTCTAGATATACCATGTCCACTGCTTCTCCCTTATCCACAAGACTCATCCTATCAAAGAAAGCTATCAGATTGGTGTGACATGATTTTATTGCTCCATTATCTTTCCTGGCACAGAAGTTAAATTGACTGGTGTGTAGTTTTCTGGGTTGTTCTCCTTTTTTATAGATGGGCACTCTATTTGCCCTTTTCCAGTCTTCTGGAATCTCTCTTGTCTTCTATTATTTTTTCAAAGATGATAGCTAAAGGCTCAGATACTCAGGGGCTACGTCTACACTGGCATGAATTTCCGGAAATGCTTAAAACGGAATACATTCCGTTTTCAGCTTTTCCGGAAAAGGAGCATCTACATTGGCCACGGAGTTTCCGCGATAACAATGCGCTTTTCCGGAAAAGCGCGTCTACATTGGCGGCGCGCTTTTCCGGAAAAGCAGAAAGCCCGGAGCCATTTTGAAGAGGGCAAAGGCCACCAGCCCTTTCCGGGGGCAGGGCCAGAGCGCTGTTCAGACACGTGCTTAAAGGGGTCTCGCCGGGCAGCCGTTGGTCTCCTGCTCCCGTGCCTTGGGGCCTCTTCCAGGGACTGACACCCTTCGCAGGTCTGTGGGTGCCCTTTGACTTTTGGGGACACCCCCCCCTTTGGCCCCCAACTGCTTTTCTCTGCGGTTTATTTTTTTGCCCAGCTCTGTGTACTATGGAGCCACGGGTGGCCATGTGCCTGGTCGGGCCCCTCTTGGTGCTGTTCCGCTGGCTGCAGCTCGTGCTGCAGGCCGGTGCCATGCTGTTCATGGACCAGGAGGCAGAGATCGCCTTGGACGCCCTCACCAGGGAGGCCCTGGCAACTCTGTCTCATCAGCACCCCACTGTATACCGGCCACTCTGGAGTTTGGACATCAGCACCGACTGGTGGGACCGTGTGGTCCTCGGACTATGGGACGACCAGCAGTGGGTCCGGAATTTCCGGATGAGAAAACAGACCTTCTTGACCCTGTGCACCTGGCTCACCCCCGCGCTACAGAGAACCGCCACCCGGCTGCGGGCACCCATCCCCGTCAACAAGAGGGTTGCCATCGCGCTGTGGAAGCTGGCCACACCGGACAGCTACCGCTCGGTGGCACACCAGTTCGGGGTGGGAAGATCCACCGTTGGAGTGATTGTCATCGAGGTAAGTCCCAGGGGGAGAGGGATGGGGGGAGGGAGGTGCCTTGGCAGGGTCCC